GATATAACACATGTGTTTTCAAGACGTGGAAAAGCGAATGATTCAACTTGAGAGAGAGAAATAGAAGAAGTAAAGGACGTGGTGGAAAACAGGAAGAAGCTGTACAGCATTAGTCAGCATTGTGCACGGCAAATCCGGCCCGTTTGGTAGTCAAGCAGTTGCAAACAGGCATATTAGAGTGGATTTAAAATGCGAAACTTTTGGTTCAGACATGTTGATTGTGCCTGATATCTGTTTCTATTCCACTCAACATCAATGTTGACAAGCCTGTCACGCTGATTACCGAATGGAGCCTTAAGCTTGTAAGTGCCAGCTGTAATGAGTCTATGTCAAGTACTTAGCGAATGAAGTTTCCGTGAGAATATACTGTTTTCGAGCGAGTGAATAACTGGCGGAATCCAACTGTATCTTGGGTAAGAAAAGCTAAGACTATCGTAGCATACATGCGTCTTAGCTATTTATACTAAATTGTGATTCTAGCGCTTGAGTGTGACAGTGTTATGTCACGCGAGTCTGTGGATGTGGGCGTTAGTAAGCAGTTCCTTACACCAGCTTCCCAAAGGCTTCGATGGCTGGAAAACAGTGACCGGTATGAGTGCGGAAGGGATCAGGAATCTCAAAAGTGTTGATAAGACATTGAAGCTCGTGTTGGGTAAACCTAGAGAGAACCAGAAGGGTGAACAAGCTGCACAGACGGATACTCACCTGAAAGCTCACTTGGACTGACTCTCCGTCATTTCCGCCCACTACTCCAAATCGATTTTTCTGCCACCTATCTCTGACGTGGCTTAGAAGTTTTTTTTCTATTGCGCAACTACCATGGTTAGCACGCCAGTCGGAACACCCGGGGTGAGATGTGGTATCCTCCCCGCATAGAGGAGTGCTGGGAGGCAAGCCCCCTCGGGTTCTTCTTCCTGGGTAAGCTTTAGGGCGATGTAAGCTAGTACAATTTTTTTCTTGAGCTATTAGCGTGTAGGGGAACAGTCTCGATGTTGAGGAGGCATCGCGCAGGCGATCACAGCCAAAAAATTTCAGCAATCAGGCTCGGCGATTTCACGGCATAATGGCATCAGTGTCAGGCACAACCAAAAGTTTCGCATTTTAAATACACTCTATTACGAACCACGCTTTGCCGCTCGCGTTCTTACTCTTTCCTTTGTGCTTTCTTCCACGTCTTGAGACGTCCAATTTTTTTCTGCGATAAATGCCCTTTTATTATTATTATTGTCGTTGACTGGAAATGTTCAGCGTGGATTTTCCTGCTTAACGTGGCGTTCAAGTGGCGTTGTACGTATACCTATTTATTCCAACATATATCAAAGCACCCTTTTTATTTCTCTTTCGGAAATTTCTCATGACGTTCTCATCTGTTATATTTTCCGTCTAAAACAGCTTTCCTACAGTTTGCCGGCTCCTCAGTTTCCTTTTCTCTTTTAACTTGAAAGTTTTTAGTGCATCTGATCTTTCTACAGCAATTCGTGGACACACGTCTCGCGCGTTTATTCATTCAGGTCTCGATGGCTAGGCCAAAGGCTCGTATGTAAAGGGTCGATTGAAGTAGTATTTGTTACTGGTTGCTTAGGTTACCATATGGTGTTCCATGTTAAATTTATTCTGGCAGGAGAAGAGCTCCATCCTTTCTTGTCGTACCGTCTTTGAAAGAAAACGAAGTACACATCCGGTGCATACGATTTTTTTTCAAATTATACAACATTGTGCAGACAATGAAAGGATATATTATTGGTCTCCGCTTTCAATTCTTTTCTAAATTCCAATATGTTTGCATCCATTTCAGTACGCGTCCGTCGGGAGTACTCGTCTTTGCAGACTAATTTCACGATCTCAACTCCGATTATTATTCCTGTCGGAATTGTATTTCGAGATCTTAGAAGCTTTGCGGAATTGTTTCAGAAAGACGAAGCGCGGATTGACATATGAACGGTGTGATGTAAGTTCTCTCTTCGAGGCTCCTCTTTATCAGCCATTCTTATCATTCAGCGTCTTTTTCTTGATATTTAAGCTCTCAGGCCAGAGGTACGCTTTATCTGGTGGCTCATTTGACTCAAATTTTCTGCGCCTGAGTCATATATTAGTGCAACCTGAATGACAGGAAAATGTGGGGCTAAACTATCTTTTAGGAAGTGTTAAAAATACAATGTTCGTTGCAACATTTGATTACATTTGCGTCAAACAAAATAGTGTTTTGATGGTAATGGTTCGTTGTTCATACCCGGGTCCTTGAATGCAAGAAATGCTCGTCCGTAATCCACCTCCAATCGGCGATATTTTGTAACATCTCTCGAAAGCTCTCTAAATTCCGCGGCTCGACCTATCGGACATTGGCGGCAAACTGGCTGTCGAAGCAACCACTGGGAGCCGCTACGCCAGCAGGAGCCCAGAACAGCTGTGGCAAGGTCGTACCGGGCACTGTGACGGTAGGACAGTGGACAAATGTACGGAAGGTCTTGGTATTTGAATTGAAGACGTTCTCGTTGGCTTGGCTGATGAAGAATCCGGGGGATCCTGAAGCTTGTGTTCCTCCAACCGCGACGAAGTTCAAGCCCTTGGGTGCAGCTCCTGTTGGCCCTTGGGTAGTCAAGAGCTGGACGGATTGGTAGGTTGTAGAATTTGCGGGTTGGACCATGAAAATGGAACTGCTCATGAAGGAATTGGAGGCCAGGGTGTAATCCGGGATGAGAGCAGGGACGTTCACCCCGCTCACTGACACGGTAGTGAGGAATCCTATAGCATAATCATATCCATTGTCGATGAAGATGTAAGGTTGCTTTGCGCTTCCGTCGGTTGAGCCGGGAGTGGTAGTCGAAGTGAAGGCCGTAGAGGCGGGGGTAGCGGTTGAAGTCGCCTTCGCTGTGGTAGTTTTGGCCGGTCTGGCAGGGCTCGCCATGGTGAACACGGCAGGGAGGAGAGCGACGAGGAAAGATGAAAGACGCATTGTAGATTGAGGGATTGAGTTGGTGGATTGAACTAGTGGACTCTGGTGGAATGAGGAAATTAAGCTGCACGGCGAGAGTACCTTTATAGAAATTAACGGAGAGCTGGGAATCTTCAAGGGGTAGTCCACCCCGACGGAGATATTGGAGCTTCTCCGACGGAAGAAGCACGGTGTCATCCTTCTTTGGAAGAATTTCGAAACTTCCCCCCGCCTCGTCGCAGGTATGGCCGAGAAGCACGGGGAGAACATAGCAGAATGTCATCAGAAAGAACATGTGAACAATGTTTATTATTTCACTCACCAATCGCCTCATTACTCCACTGGCGCATTGACATTTTTACGGATCTCGTCAAATATTTAGTAAAAGCGGGTTGAAGAAAAAAGACAATTGGAACGGCGCGGAACAGAAGGGTCGCTGGCTCGTTTTGCCGACGAAAAACGTCGTAGAAGTGTTTCTGGAAAGCTGATATAGTTGTAGAATGGTGGCGGAGCGCAGTAAAGGAGCTTGTAATCAACTTTCCGAAAGTTAATCGGAAGTCCGAGCCTACAGTGACATGTACAGGATGTGACGGTAGCAGTTTTGATCCCTACGACGCGTCTCATATTCTTCATATTGCAGCGTTCCCTATACCCAACTATATTAAGTCAAGAAAACACTTGTGCAAAATTCACTCCAAAAGAAATGTACGGTACGCACAGCAACGCGTCATTCAGCTGTTCAAATTTTTCTGTGCCGACAGTTTTAAAAATAGATCAGCTCCAATTTGACGCGATAATCGACGCATCACGCCCACCTCCATCCTTTTTCATTTTCCGTGGACCTCAAATATAGACCGAGGCTTGGTAATTTTCACCGACAGTAGGAGGGATTTCCTCAGCTATTAGTAAGCACAATAGGAAGGTTGACAAGGTGGATTAAGTACTATTAAATCATTTGGGAGCTTTAAACACGTAAGCTTTATGTGAGAAAGCTGTATTTCAAGCTATTTCAAGTTAAATTCTAAAGAATATAACCCTTGTTGGGACCGAGACTCTACTAGGGGTACGTGCGTCGGCGACCAATCTCGGAGTTTTTCACACCGCCGTCTGAACGGCAATTTCAGCTGGTAAAGCACTTGGCAACAGCATCAGAAAGTACTCACATAAATAGCCACTCATTATGAAAATGTTATGCAGTCTTCTTGGCAAATTGTATCCGCTCCTGTTCAAGCGACGTTAAGGTGGTCTTTGATTGGTCGGTCTTTCGTCCGAAGAAGGCACGGAGTCTATTTTGACATTATTCAGGGGTCGCACGGGCATAGCCGATGATTGAGCTAGAAATCTGTTTAGGTTTAATGCCCTTTAGGATGATACTGCGTGCTGCAAACAGTACAGGTGACTCACTTTCTCAGTCTAGAAATACAGTCCTTCTAAAATGGGCTTTGTCTGGCCCTCACTGTCATGGACTAATTAATCAAATCTCTAAGCCCCCTTTCCATTACTATCTTTATCTTGAAGTAGAACAGAAAAAGCTCGGATGGAACGGTCACTCCACCGTCATGTCCGATACCGACAGCTAAATCACGCCTTTGAGGGAAATTGCTATCACTAACGACGAAAAAGCGCTCTCCCTTGAAACTTGTCAAACTCTCCTCGATGCATATACTGAAAAGAATGCCCCTCTGGAATCCATCCACAGCCATTATTCGCCTAAATTATTCGCAACCTCTTGCATCTGGTATATGGGGCCGGTGGAGGGTGCAAACCATCGGTTAAAAGGTCAAAATATCCTAGAGAAATATAATGACGTCTAAACCGCTTCCCGCCGCCATGATTAATATTCATCGCCGAGTTCATTTCAATGTTGATAACTTCAAAAACGGCTTGCGCGATTACTTTGAGAGTGAGACCTTCAGTAAGACGGTCTGTTTATAATATGCTGCGTCTGAAGTTCGGTAGTAGAGTAGTATACGATCCTATTATCAAGACACTTCCCGGTATAATAGGGAAAAGAAATGACTAGGAATGCCAGGGTTGGAGCTGATACAGAAGTTACTTTAGGATGTCAACACGTGTGGTGAAACGGTATCATGCTTGCCTTCCATTAGTGTGTCAACAAGCGGCCGGGGTTCAACTCCCCGCACGTGTATTTTGGTATCTTCATAGATGACCAGGTCGCAAGTTTACCTACTAGCACATAATGTCAGCTTTTCTTGGGCAAATATCCTTAAAACACCCTTTTGTTAGAAAATAAGATCACAATAAGGTGTAAGCACTTCAAAGACTGGTGTCCTTCGGATGATTCTAGTAGGGTAGTATGGATCATACATCAGGAAAGTTGACCCGGGCGCCTAATGGCTCCCACGCTCGTACCATCACCATCTATTGCATCCAATCCTTCCAGCACACCACCCAATGCCCACCCATCCTCTATTTCATTAGCATCCGTACTTAAAGACCTCAGCTCCTTAATCCATGCCATCGCTCTTCCAAAAACGAGGACAGCAAAGACCTGTACCATCTCGCTTGACATCCTACACAAGGCCCGTAACCTAAGTACGTCAGCAGTTGACGCCCACGAACAACAACACGGTACACCTCAGATCATCTCCATTATCGAACAACTCAACGCCATCTCGAACCATATCGGCCTTTCATCAAAAGATACACCATTCACAACACCTACCCCACCCAAGCCCATACATCGTGACACCCGATTGCATGTCACACTTCTGCAGGTCGACCGCCAAAACCCCGTACTACGTCATTACTCCAACGCAGACTTAGCATGGGACGCCAGCACTGCATGTCTCAACACGGGATGTGTTGTAAGAACCATCCCAGATCCAACTGATCCAGACGAAGTTCAGGATATAGGACCGAACATACGAGCAACTGGGAGACACCGGAGTGGCGATATCTGGCTTCAATGTGCCACCGAGGAGGACCGCGACTTTCTTATCAAGAATGCCTCCACATGGATTCCAGAATTCTTGCCTGGTCTGAGGCTCTCCATTCCAACATACCCTGTAGTGGTTCATGGATTCCCAACGGAGTTTGACCCCTCCCGAGACAGCGATGATACATCCAACCTCCTCAAATGTAATGAGGACATCATCTCACATCCTTCTGCCCTTCAACATGCAGAATTTATTTCTCGCAAGAACCTGGAGAACATTCAGTCGACAAAGACCCACTCATCCCTCATCCTCTATTTCACCGACCTCGCTACCGCCAATAAATGCATTGACAAACAAATTGTCTCGGACGGCAATATGTATCAAACGGCCAAATTCATTTGTCGACCCCCACAGTGCTATAATTGTCACCGCTATGGCCATTTTGCCCGTGACTGTTGCTCACCCACCACCTGCGGCATCTGTTCTGGTGCACATCATACTCAAGACTGTCATTGCAAGCAGCCACCATGTGCCGGGGGTAAATCTTGCAGGCATATTCCTCTTAAGTGTACATTATGCTCTGGAGGACATGTGCCAACTAGCATGGATTGCCCTCAACGTCAAGATATGTTGAAACGATACAAGATGACAGTCTCTGCTGCAGGACACTTTTACTAGCAGCTTTCATATATTGATTTTCTGCCACATTACCCCCTAAGTTGGGGGAAGTGTCCCAGGAAGTGTTTTCAGATGTTCCACTTGACCTATTTTACCCCCTTTTATGACCTCATTACTACTCTAGTTATTCTTGATGATTTCTGTCAAGCAGTCAGTTTCTCTGGCTGGTTGGACTGAGATTTCCATTTCTCATCATCACTTCATTGCTGAATCTTCCATCATTCACATCCTGTAGACGTCCTGCTATTGTTCTATCTTATTTTCAGCCATAGCTACATTGTACATACACTGCATCATAGTGCACCATAAGCGCCTGGCGCTTCAAGCACTCTAATTGAATTCTCTCTCTCTCTCTCTCTCTCCGGGTGCCTAAAACGCTACCTAGCACATCGAATTGCTCTCCTAGTCTAGATAGCATATGAGCCGCTAGGAGTCGCTAAGAAAACACTAGTTTTTAAGTCAAGTTCAGTCAATGTCGAGTCAAGAGTAGTAGCAGGCTAGATACTACACAGAAATTCACATAGGTCCCAGTTAATGTCCTAAGTATCATCTGAAAGCTCTATCTCGCTCGTTCCAGTCTAATATTTGCGGTGTTAGCTTGAACACCATGTAGAATACTTGCTAAACTTGGGAGGTTTGAACAAGTCACGTGCTGTTCTTACCGTCTTCATCCTTCTGCCTCAAACCACCATCTTCAACATCACAAACACTGATGACAGCTTTATAGAACCCCATCTGCTATTGCTTTTCATTCTTATGTCGAATTCTAACTGGTGTCACTCATGAATATATCCCTACTGGTGCAAGATCCTTCAGAATCACCACTATATCCATTCGACTCACCCATCCGACTCAGAACTCGATTCTTCGCTGCTGCTCTATATATCTCTGGTCTAGCTCTGTACTCAGTTCTCTCTATAACGTTTCTGAACTGCTTGCACATGTGTCCTATGGAACTCTTTTCCGATCTCGAACCTTTTTATTCCCAAAGGAGTGCCGGAATTTGTTTAGGTACATTGTTTCACGTTGCATGTTCGGTTCTCAATTAACTATTCTTTTCGCCAGTACCTCAATCAAGATAGCACCAAGCCATTTAGACATTTTTATGATTATATCTATGGTATACTATTGGAGGAACAATGTTCTCCTTGTCTCCTGCTTCATTACTATAGAGACCAACTTTGATAATGCTAGTAGTAGAGGCTTAATGTATAGTACATTGTGGTATTTAGTCTAATAGATCTCTTACTC